GGTTCCCGCTCGCTGGCTGAGCGAGGCACGGGAGCAACACCGAGGGTTGCGATCCCGTTGCCGGTCCCCGGTCTGGTACAGGGGCAACACTGAGGGTTGCGATCCGTTGCCGGACACGGAAAAAGACAAAAAGACAAAAAAAATAAAAATAAAAAATAAAATAAAATAAAATGCTGCATTGCCTTAGTGCTCTGCCTAAGCGACTGCCCTGTCTCTGTGGCTCTGTGAGGGAAGGCAACAGGTGGGTGAGGAAGAGGCACTTCATATCAATGCCAACCGCTGATTCATCTTTGATGATCATCTGCCTACCACGCTGTCTCTTACATGCTCCCGAATCATTTCCTCTTTCAACCCACGCACCAACCCACCGTCGTAGTCTTTGTCTTCTGTATTCTTTTGAAATTGCTTTTACTCCATTTTCCTTTGTCCTTTGCATATAGTTGTGGAAATATAGGAAAGGTGTGTGTGAGGAAAGCATGGTGTATGGGATCACAGGGGCAGTCAAAGGAATCTCTCAAAAAGCAGACTTACAGTCTGCGTCAACACACATGCATGCCCGGCAATGGGGTGTGTGTTTGGCAAGTATGATTATATGGGTTGTAAATGTAAAAATTGTCCTTTAAAAGAATGGGCTCAGAAGGAGATAGCTAGAGGAGAGGAGAATGCGGTGTGGGAGATGGGTCCGAGCAGACTAATTGGTGGCATGGGGTGCCATTGAGAAGATCATCCAGTGATACCCGTGATGGGCTGCTGAGTATTGTGAGTTGCATTGAAATAGAATCATGCACTGCACGATGACATCTTGGTCAACGATAGACCGCATACATGATGGTGGTCAGAACCACAGGCCATACCACACAGCCTAGGTGTGTAGTAGACTACACCATGTAGGTTCACCTAAGTATACTCTATGATGTTTGCACAATGACAAAATCACTTAATGACACATTTCTTGAAACATTTCCCTGTCATTAAGCAACATGTGACTATAGTAGTAAAACACTCAGACTCTGGAGTTGGGGTCCATAGGCTCAAATCCCAGCTTAAGCGCTTGTAAGCCAGTGTGATTTGAGTTATCTGTCTAACCTCTCAATTCCTCATGTGTAAAATCAGAATAAATATAGTACTTACTTCATAGAGTCATTGAGATAAAACAGATAAGACACTAAGTCTGGTGGCCCTACACATTAAAAATGGTTGGTGACAGTCAGCCACAACTATGGGGCGCTGAGGATTAGAAAGAGCACAGTGGCCGTGGAAAGGGTGGGTCGACTGGACACTACCACTCAAATCTTGCACTGAATCTACTGCCACTCGGTCATACTCTCAGAGAATTAGGCTTTGTGGAAACCACGGAGGACACTTCATTTAAAATGCTTTCACTGATGGAAAAACCCAAGCCCAATGAGATTGAAAAAAAGAAAAAAAGCCATTCAGCCAGATAGCAGCATAGCCTGGCCTCAGAGACCCTCTGAGGCACATACCCCTTCCTCCATTCTGCCACATTTCAGTTCCTGACTGCTGAATTTGGGGCTCCACCAGCACAACCGTTTGATCTCTGCATATATGCATGCATTCATTCTTTCAACAAAATCTCCCTGACCAGCTACGCGTGTAGACCTCTGTGGTAGGTCCTTCGTATCAATCCAGACACAGTCCCTATGTTCATGGAGTTTACAGGCTAAAGAGGAAGGGAGACTTTAATCAAACAAACTAAATAAATTAAACAAAAGCAAAGTTGCAACTAGAAGGTAAAGTCCATAGAAACAAGGAGTTTACCCATTGGTCACTGTTGTATCCATATCAATTCGAACAGTGCCTGGCCCGTATCATGTACTGAATGCCTGTTTGTTGAATGAATGCTAGTCGACAAACTGTGAGAGTGCAGCAGTCAGAAGCAAGGTGTGACAGGGTGTGTGATGGGGGAAGTGACCCACTCAGAAGTCAGGGAAGGCTTTCTTCAGGAAAGGATACTGCAAGGCGAATGGACTCTAAGGTGTAGTGAGCAAGGGTGAATGAAAGGGATTGGTGGGTGCTGTAGGAACAGAGCACAGGAGGGTTTGAGAGAAGGAAAGCAGAAGTCCAGTTGAGCAGTCATTCTGGCAGGCATATGCAGGGAAGTAGTGACAGGATGGGCTATGTCACAGAAGGTGCAGGCAGATCCCGGTAGGAATCATAGCACCTTGCATGAATACAACCCCTTTCAGTTAGCCACACCACTCTGATGCACATTATCTTACTGGCAATTCACAATGACTTGCATGTCGGCAGGCCAGGAAATACCATCCCAATTTTGGCTGAGTAAACTGAGGCCTGCAGTCTCTGTGTGTTGTCAAGGTCAGACATCTAAACATAGATAGCATTTATGGGACTCTTTATATATATATATGACTTTATTTAATCCTCTCGCCAGCCTTTCAAGGGGGGTATTAATATCCTCATAGCATAAATGAGGAAAGGAAGCCTCAGCAAGTGTAAGTCACTAAAGTGAGTCTAAACTTGGATGTGGATCTGTCTTTGCCGTGGATTGAGTTGTGTCCAAGTTTTTATGTTGAAGTCCTCACCCTCAGTGTGGCTATATTTGGAGAAGGGGGTTATAGGGAGACAATTAAGGTTAAATGAGGTCATAAAGGTGAGGCCCTGATCCTATGTGATTAGTGTCCTAATAAGAAGAGACACTAGAGAGCTCCCTCTTGTGCTCATGTGCGTGTTCTCTCTTTGTCTCTGTCTCTTTCTCTCCATGAGCACTCAGAGGAGAGGCCAAGTGAGGACACAGCAGCTGTCTACAGGCCAAGTAGTGGGCCCTCACCAGGACTTCATGAGCTGGAACCTGGACCTCAGACTGTGAGCCTCCGTAGCTGTGTTGTTCAAGGCATCCAGTCTACGGTATTTTGCTCTGGCAGCCTGAGCAGACTAAGGAGATCTTGGTATACATTGGCTGTTGTTATCTGCTATGACACACATTTTAGTTCGTGGCTGAGAGGAACAAGAATCCAGGTGATTCCATTGTCAGTACTAGGCCCTTCTATTGACCACATTCCCTGCCACCAGCAATCCTGCTAATGGGGTAATGGCAGGCCAGTGGCAGGGTGGCACCCAATTCCACCCTTTCCTCTCAGTTTTATTAAGATGGGATAGGCATTCATGATCATCCAGGTGTGGGCAGGACCACAAGTCTGTGAGTGCCCTGGATTGAGAGCTGTGGAAAGTGACAGTTGCAGAGCTGGCCCAGATCTTGAAGACTCGAATGTTATCACTTTCCATGCGGCTGAGATTGACATCTTAAAAAGTAGGGCTGTGAGGCCTCCACCTCTGCAAGCAGAGCTGAGCACCCACTGCTGCTTCATCTAACTGTGCGAGGGTGTGTGTGAGTGTGTGCCTGTGTCCTTCTTTCTCTATCCTCTGGTAAGTTCTCCAGTACCTGATGAAGGGGTCCAATTCTGGGTCTCATTTGCACCTATCCATTAGCTAGCATGCTTCAGCGTTGCCCAAACTCTTTGGTCCTCTCTTTCCTTCTCTGAAAAATGGGGTTAATAGCCTGTCTTGCACAGTGCTAACATGATGCCTTAGGAACTAGTAAATTTTGGTAAAGGTAGATATTACCATTATAAATAATAATCCTATTTTAAAATAAAGGTTTTAGAACTAAGTCATTAGCCTGCTTTGCCTTGGGCTAAAAAAATAAAACATTCATACTAGGGTGCCTTCTCCATGGAGACAGTCATCTAATATCCATTTGGTCTCTGGGAGGGGTTCCTCTTGGTGGTGCTGTGTGCAGAAAGAGCACAACAATCATCCTTTTCAAAGGTGACCAAGTAAAAGTTTACTGTTTTGGGGGCAAAAGCCCATTCCCCTGAAATCTATATTGATAAGTGTGTCTGTGAAAGCCATCATATTCTTCATGCTTGTCATCTAAACTGCAACCAACCCTCCTGAAGTCTATCCACTATGGAGAAATAAATCAGGGATGTGGAGCAGGCAAGCCCATCTTTGAAATAGGCTCAAGTTCAAAAGCATAAGCATTCAGGCAGGCAGAGGAAGGAAGGAACATGCTATACCCACCTGCCACTGCTGATGAGGGGCTTATTTCTAAGACACACACAGCACAATGCACACACAATGCAGAGAGAAAACAAAAGACATAGATCACACATTTCAGATGGTTGGTGGACAAATTTTAGTTCATGTCAATGCTGAAAGCTGGTTCAGGGTTGAGGTGCACATGGAAAAATGGATACCTCTCATCCTGCTCATCAGATGCTTCCCTCCAACCAAACCTCAGTGAATAAACAAATATGTACACACATAAAATATCACAACGAGCTGGCCTCGGCCCATGGTGTGGAATGTTGCACATGATATGGACTCAGCAGTGTGAGGAGATGGATTGAGGGAGTGATAAGGGCTTCTAGGGAGGCCAGTCATGGCTCCTGAGGCCTTTCTATCCACATGGAAGGGAAGGACCCTCAGAGAAGGGTCTGATGCTCCAGGTGTGGGTAGAGCAGTCATCTGATGAGGACTCAGACTTCTGCTCCATTCACCCCAGTGAATGAGAACATGACATGGCAATCAACATGAGAATCATGATGGCAACAGTTGGCTTGGCTTAACCTGTAAATTTAGACCCAGAATCACAGACTCCTATAACAGAAGGAATCTTTACATTTATCTAATCCATCCCCACAGCCCTTTAGGCAGTCCTGCAATTGAACTTTCCCATGTTTCTATTTTCTTTATGCAATCACCATTCAATTTGATTTGAAATTTGGTTTACTCCTTTTGAAAAGGCAAACCTTGCCTTTCAAGGACCAGGAGAATCAACCACCTTGTAAACATCACTGTCCCACATGCTGGGGGAGGAACAGGGAGCAGCATTTCCTACTAAGGGTGGTGGGCTGAGAAGTATGGACACAGGCCAAGCACATCATGCCCCCTCCCTCCTGAGTTGCTCAGGCTCCCCCCATGGCCGAGCTCACTGCATCCAGGCTTCCTGCACTCACCATACAATGTGATGCTGGCGTTGGTGTTCCCAAGCTTGTTTGTGGCCACGCAAGTGTAGTTCCCATAATCTTTTTCAGAGACATTGAAGAAAGTCAGAGTGGATATGCGGCCTTTGCTCTCAATCCTCACTCCGTCCAGGCCGGTGGCTAACCTGCAATGAGACAAGTTACTGCTGCTCTGGTTCTGCAAACAGACTGGAACACAAGGCAGAGGCACTGTCGGAACCCGAAGATAACCATAGATTCATCCTATGAGGAGGCCCTTGTCCTCACAAAAATCCTTTTCTCTAAGTAATCCAGTCCCTCCAACTCAAATCCTAAGTACCATGGCCTCTATCACTCGGAAAAGGGAATGGATGATTGCTATGGTTTGAATGTCTCTCCCAGAGTTCACGTGTAGAAAACTTAATCACCAGTGCAACAGTATTGAGAGGTGGGACCTTTAAGAGGTGATTAGGAATAAATTAATGTCATGTTGCAGGAGTGGCTTGCTGATAAAAGGATGAGTCTGCCCCCCACTCTCTGCCTCCTGCATGTGCTCTCTTGCCCGTCCACCTTCTGTCGTGGGATGACACAGCAAGAAGGCCCTTGCCAGATGCTGGCACCTAGATTTTGGACTTCCCAGCCTCCAGAGCCATGAGTTATAAATCTCTGTTCTTTATAAACTACTCAGTTTCAGGTATTCTGTTATAGCAGCACAGAATAAACTAAGGCAATGGTCATGCTCAATAGACTAAATGTACTGGCTTCTAGTCATCAAGGACTACCATCTCTGCAACTAATCCCAGATGCTGAAACAAAGTCAGTGCGTTCGGTCCACTTCTCAGTTTCCTCCAGTTTCTTTTCTTTCTTTTTTTTTTTAGTGGTCTTAATATTTGATTGTTCAATTTTAGTAGAGTGTGGACTTCAGCCACTTTTTCTCCACGGATCTGCACGTTTCTCTTTGCATTTTCAGTTGTATTCTGACCTCCAGTTTCCTGAAGTCTGAGAGTCTAGAGTCATGTTTGTTTTCTGTTCAACTTGATGACCTATCAAAATAAATAGAAATCATGTGAATCCTTAACTGTATAGCAAAGAGGAGTTATGTCTTATCTTCCCCTTACTTTATCATCCTCCTTCCACGTGGAATCAACCCATCACCGCACTTCAGTGCTGCCCTCCCTCCACTTCCACGGTACCTGGTGTCCTCCTTGAACCACTGGAATTCAGCCGTGGGGACTGCTGAGGCTTCACAGCTCAGGATGCCCTTCTGACCAACTGACGCACCCGTGTTCTTGGCTTTTGAGATATAGGGAGGGTCTGTGGATGGAAAAAAAAAAAAAAACAACACATAGGGTCTCTCCATGAAAGAGGTGAAAGACACATCTAGCTGCTTTCTATGTGAATGGATTTCTTGTGACACCTCTCTCTCCCAGTGAAATAACCATTTATTTTGGGAAAATAACTTGTTGGTTGAGGATATTAGCATCTCCTTCGGGCCTTCAAACCGATTCTAAGTTAACAGTTCTCCCATTTGCTGAAAGCTTTGACAGTCACAGGAAGACCCAGGGACAAATGGCCACGGAGGCAATGATGGGGCAAAAGCAAGCTGAAGAAGTGTTTTCCTGATGGCAGACACACGGCTCTCTCCGGAGATAGCATCTTACTTTAGTATTAGAAGTCCAGAGAATCACGGAAGAAAGAATGTGCTTGTTATTCACAGTCTACCTTCTTCCCAAATAATTTTAAAGTAAATTATTTATGCAATTTCCATCCGAATTGTTGGCCTTTAGATGAATGTTATATGAAATGCACTTATTACATTGAGGCAAACATTCTGCAGGGCTCTGCAACTGCTGTAAAGTATGACATGCTCCAGCCGCCCACTCATCTGTGGACATAACATGCCCACATAGTGCATTTAACCCTCTGCAACTTGATGTTTGATAAAATCTACTTACTTTGTAGTGAGTTCTGCACATTTCAAGAAAAAAAAAAAAAGAAGAAGGTAGACTGCCCTTACCAGCTTGTCCCCTTAATCCTTATGCCACCTTCCCCTGGAGCTCCCTGACTGCAGATCAACTCACAGTTTACAGTGATCTTTACTTTCCGCACATCGGGGGCAGCGACATCGTTCAAGGCACTGCATTCATACTCCCCAGATTGGTCACGTTTGATGTCAGAGATTTCCAGGTATTCATCCTCACTCACAAAGCCCTGGCCTTCTGGGAAGGAAGAAACAGACAAGCAACAAATCATGAAACTATGAACCAGGGACAGCACCATCTCCACAGCTAGAGGATTCTGGAGAAGAATAGGAGAAGATGTAAAATGGGTTTGGACACCAAGTCAAAGATATAGGGCACCATGTTGACCAAAAGGTACAGCAACCGAGGATGGAAATTCTGTGCTTGTGTCTTGGATCAGTGTAGTTTTGGTCACTTTAACATTTTTAGAGCATTTGAGAAGAAAGGGATATCATAATTTATCTACGATTATTAAAAGGATTAACTAAGAGAGTACATGATAAATACCCCAGCAAATTACTAAATTTCGATATTTTAAAGAGAATTGTCATGATCTATAATATAATAAAAATGTGGAATAACTTTAGGAAATCTTAGTACAGACAATAATTTAACTCATTTCTATGCAGAAATACCTTTATATGTGGAATACAAAATACTACCTACTTGTAGAGAAAATAAGTGAACATTTTACATTTTAATACAAATAAGTGCAAAATACTTGCTTCAGTTTCAACCCGTGGTGAAGATAAGAGTGGAGAATGAATGAACGAGGAGGCACCTTGTGACTGCTCTGTAGAAGGTGCTCAATAAACATTTGCCAGCATAAAATAAACATGACAGCCTCCAATGATGAATCTGTGGTTACCAAAACAGCCTCATGGATTTAACACCTGTGTGAACACTCTGGGAAATTCACTCTCAGGTGAAACTTGCAATTCATGACACAAAATACCCTGGAGCTGCAAAATTTGCATTGCTTTAATCCCCCATTGCATGCTCTTGCAACAATCTGACCCCTCTACCTTACCTTTTATCCCACTCCCTGTGGTTCAGTGGGAAGAGACAGACCCTCCCCCTTCAAATGCAAATATTCAGAGTTCTGTCAAAACACCAGGCTCCCATGAAAACTCAGCTGATGCGAAGGACAAAGAGAAGGCACAGCTGCTGTCACTGCTCCCAGGCCTGCTGCCTATTTCCTTTCGTGCTCCAGCATTAGGGCCAGATTAGTTTCCAGGACAATACAAACGCATTGCAACTTTCCCCACAACCCTGTAGAAGCATATTCTGATCCAGCTGGGTGCGTGTTCAACCAAGTCTGGCCCCCTCGGTGTGGAGCAGGAAGGTGGAGTGTCTGCGGTGGGTGAGCTTGTGGGTAGGGGTTGGGACCCCGATTCTGCTCCCAGTCTAAGCTTTGGGAAGCTTCCAACACCCACTCTGCCCAGTCCCGCAGACCATTTGCTTTTGGCTCTCACTGCTTTCCCTGCCTCCATCCCCCATCCCAGGTCATGTCCACTCAGGATATGCAGTCAGTGTCTGGATGCTGGTTACTGAGGACAGCCCTAGAAGATGTGGAGCCTCAGGCAAATATTTTTCCAGGGGCCTCTATCTATATGAACTATTTGAGTCATTTCAAATCAGCACCACTCTGGTAGCCCAATCTCCAGCAATTTCCATGGAAGAAATATTCTATTGGCCAGCAGGAGTTACCCATTTGCCAGACCACCCTCCAGGATTCTGGGACTGGTTGCTGGACCCCAGGACAAGCCCACAGGTGTGAGGTTCAGAGTTGCTGGGGAACCTGGCTGAACCCATGAGAGGCATGGAAGAGCCTCCTGCAGGGATGAAATGGGGCCTGGGACAATGGCTTCCACACTCCCATCCTAGAACCTAAGCCCCTTGCCTGAATGCTATTGCTGGCCTCGCTAGTCCCAGGCACCAGAGGGGAACTTAGAAAATTTTTAGAAAGACACTCCAGAGTATAAGGCCTCATGGGGCCTGGGACAGGGCCCCATTTGCTGAGTTCCTCAGGGCCACACTGCTGGTCAAACCCTCCTACTGCAACAGATATTTAATTATCCAAGCGAGTTTATACCCTAACTCCTCATGGTCCATTAGAGAAATGCAAACACCTTCTCATCCTTTCCCCCTTATTTCTCTTAGACTTACAGAATCTTGGAGTTGAAGGGGATTCTGAAATTACAGTTGACCCTTGAAAGACAACACAGGAGATAGAGGTGCTGACTACCCCCCTGTTCCACACACATTCAAATATCCACGTATAACTTTTGACTACCCCAGAACTTAACTACTTAACTACTACTTAAGTATGTTGTGAGTTTTCACCTCCTTTCCGCCCTCAACCCCCCCCCCCCCCCC